AAAATGCTAAGCTGGAAAAACTTTCATCACAATATACTTAAAATACCCCAAAGCCACCATTCCAAATATTCACTCAAATTAATAAAGCCTTAAGCAAACTTACCTTACCCTTACTAGAACTTACCTTTCCTAACCCTTTTACTTGGACACAAGCCTCAAACCAGTCAAAATGGATAATTACACCGGACCATACCTTTGGCAAAATAACCTCTTCATAAGACAATCTCTTCAAAATCCAATATTGGAATCTCGACCCTAATACTAATACACTAAAATACTGCAATCGATGCTCCCTTCACAACTACACGACCCACAACACACGTTGCTCATTCTGGATACCTAAATCTTTGACATTTCAAATACAAGTATCATCAAAACATACTTGGCACAGTACCCTTACCAATCTTCAGGCTCCCCCTTCACCTCACAAACACATAACTAAGTCTAACCGATTCATACCACGAAACCACTTATACTCCTTCAACATGGTACAAACACATAACGAGCATGCTGAAAATATTTGGAGTGCATACTTAACATTCCCAAATCTCACAACTATTTCAGCCCAACTAATAATCACAACTCAAAAAAAACACATCCCTATACCAACCTCAATTCTCACCTTCTCCAACCTTATGACAAGAATAGTTATACAAACAAAAACTGGTCTAGCCCAGCAAAAATTGCAATCTCTACACTTTACACACTTCTCACAATCATCCCATCTCATTCACAAATTCACCTCACTACCAATTTGACTACTATAATTAAACTACTCCTACTACTCACAAACCTATCCATAACTACAACTAATACTATCTAAAAACAAACAAATATAAGCCTCTTAATGGCAATCCGTGCTGCTATTCACACCAAATATATTAATATCCAAACTACCCACTCTTGCTCCACTAACACAATACTCCCTCATGACAATATCCTTCATGCTAAAATCGATCCATCAACCATGATCAACAATACTCATCTTCTCTGCTTCAATCACCAGCTTGCATTTGATGATCTAAAAACTCTAATCAAAAAACTTCACATTGCAACTAATATTACCTCATGGTACTACCAAAAGAAAATACAATCATGGATACCAAATACACCCAACATTCAATAAAATGCAACATTTCTATACTTTTAACACAACGACAAACCTCATTAATGCTCAACAAATCCCAAGACTTCCAAAATAAAAAACTTCAAATTTAAACTCCTAATGAAAGAACTACCCAACCAACTCAACCTATTCAAACGGCACCCACTAAAACACATCTCCCCATCTGCAAATGCTGCAATACGGATACAGAAGATGATGCTCACTGGCTCACATGTGTGACCAACCCCACTACAATTACTAACCTTCTCCAAGATACTACTAATCAATTTCTCTGCAAACATAGTCTTCCACTATCAGATATTAACAACTTCATTCAAGCATTCACTCAAATCCATATAACGAACCAAACACCTCTCAGTATCATTACAACAGAAACCCTAACACTGACGAGGATTCACAGCAAAGCTATCCACTCGTCCCCGGAACTATACCACACTATCATAACCAAAATATACAAATCGATCTGGACTCCAAGCAGAATAATGGCGAAGAATAACAACAACAATAATCACAATCACTCAAACAGTACCACCTACCTTAGCTCAAATATGATGATACCAGAATCTAACCCCAACCCAACACTATATAGTAAACTCTCATTGTGGCAATATTCATATATTAGTTATAATACTCCCCCTAACGATATTCTCGACACATAGTCTAGAGATCTTTGACCTGCCTAGCTAAGATTAAGGTCTAGAGTAAAGTAGCTCCATCCCCACTTCCCCTAAAAAATTATATAAACTTACCTTGTAAAATCTGCATAACAAATAATAAAGGAACTAAGGAAAAGATCTCACTTAAAAAATAAAAAAAAAAAAAAGACTGCTAAAGTTAAAAAAATTTTTATTATAGTTTTAGATTTCAGATTATAGTTTTAGAAATTAGGATTTCAGAGTTTTGGTTTTTTTTCTAAAAATCTAAAACTAGTTTTAGATTAGAACCTTTCTAAAACCAGTTTTGGGTAGAATTCATTTTGAGATCAACTCTAACTAGCATCTCTCATATTTGCTTCAATTACTTGAATTATAATCTTTAAAAGATAATTTAGCTAGAAAGTATAGAAGATTGAAATTTTTAGAATCTAGAGTAGTTTTTCTAAACTACAATTATATTATAAATCAAAAAATTTTTAAGGCAAGCAATATTTATTGTGACAGAATGAAATCAGATCATAATAAAATTTAACTTATTTTATATTAAATTTTTAAAATTTTTTAAGTCTTTTTGTTAGGTTTTTTTTTATAGTTAAGAGTTAGAGTTATAAAGAAAAGAGTATAAATAAAATTTGGTAGAGCTTATATATTTAAATTAAGACCTCTAAATTTTACAATGATCTGATCTCATTATTTGCAATATTTATTATTGAAAATCTACATCCTTTTTGAATACAATAGGCAATATGTGTCTAATAGGCAGAAGTTTACTTAGAGATGGGCAAAATGCATATTTCTATAAATATATAAAATTTAAATAAAAAAGTTTTATCAAATTTAATTAGATAGTTGTTGATTTAAACCTTTTGATTTTTACTAAGAGCTTTTATAGTTTGATTAGTGCATTATAAAGTGTTGATCACATGCCAGAATTCTGAAATTTTCTGCTAGCTATTTTGGTTTTTCAGGTTATAATAACCTGGGTAAAAATAGAATTTCCTATTTTTACATTCTAAACCTAAACCCAAAAAATCCTAATTCTGCAAAAAAAATTCTTATCTAGGGCAGTCTGATTCTGAATTGAGACAATTTCAATCTAGAGTACGATATATATACTTATCAGAAATAAATCAGAAATTAAAATAAAGAAATAAAATACAAAATGAAGAAATAAAATACAATATTGAAATTTAGAGTTGTTAATGAGTTGGGTTGGAGTGAATTAGGTTGAGTTATTCTTTTACTTACTTCAACTTGATTTGGGCTTACTTTGGAGCCACTCCAGTTTTGCTTAAAGCTGCTCTAGTCTACTTCAGTTTTACTCCAATATATTTTTATTTTACTCCAACTTGGGTTGGGCTTATTCTAGAGTTGCTCTAGAGTATATTACTCTATTAACAACTCTATTGAAATTACATTTTAGAGTGATAATATTGATCATTGGCTATACCAATACCTGATAAGGAGATAAGCATATACATATATATATTTGTGTTTGCTATACTAGCTATTTTCAGATATATATCTCTATTTTAAAAGTTTATTCTAAGTTATTTGTCTAAAAATCCTAAAACTAATCTATAGTATAAACTACTTAAACTGAAAAGAAAATATTGATTATTCTGATCTAGAGTATGTAATAGGCCAGGATTGTAAAAACAAGTTGAATTTGGCCAGGTCAAACCTGGTAATTTATATAGTTGAGCATAGTTTTGGTCAGACCTGGGCCTATATTTTTAGACTCATAATAAATTGGGCCAGGCTCATAATTTAATAGACTGGGTTCAGGCCCAAGCAAACCTGGCCTATTGCATACCCTATTCTGATTCAAAGTCAACTCAATATCAATATAGAGTTTGAAAATATAAAGTGAGTTACTAAAAAAATTAACATGTAGCCCTTTAATTCTAATTATAAATTTATATTCTCACACACTTAGTTTATTCTTTCTGTAAATTCTTATTTCTATATAATAACAAATAAGTTTAAATAAAATAAATATTACTATTAGTTTTAATATATATTCCTCAAACTTACAGAATTAGTTTTGCATATTGTGATTAATAACACTTAAAAGAAACTATTTATATGGTTGTATATCAGAATCCTGACAAATTAAAATTCTAATTTTTAATATTGTCAAAATCTTAATTTGTTAGGATTTTGTGTATTGGGATTTTGTTGTCAGGATTTTGTATATCAGGGTTTTGTATATCAGGATTCTGATATACAATTTATTTATACATATAATGATGCAATTAGTGAAACTAGTACTTGTAGTAGATCATTATATATCTACTTAACTAAGTCAATATTAAAAATTAGCTTATTAGCTTAACTAGCTAAATTAGAGTTGATTATTCTAAATTCTATTTAATTAAACTTTGTAAATTATTAAGATTTCTTTAAATTTTTAATAATATTATATAAACTTATAACACTTATTTTTTATTATATAAATCAATTATAAATACTATATATATACAGTATATATCTTTTTTATTATGAATATATATTATATATAACTGTTATATACTGTATATATATTTTATGTGTATAAAATATAAAATGTGATACATTGTGCTATGTGTGGTTCTAGTTGTCTGAAGCATAATGACAGACCCTTAGTGTCTACACAAAGTGATACAAAAATTACATTTTTGATTCATTAATTGTTATATTTTTATCAGAAATATAATTATCACATTCAAATTTGTGATTTTAGTGTAACAAAAAAATGCAATGATTATTATATAATATGCTTTAGACTTATAATTCTATGCATTTTTCTAGTGTAAATTAATTTTTTGTGCAACTAATTTATAGTATTCAGTATAATCAAACACTTTGAAATGCTGTGAACAAAGTCATAAGATATTCATTTGTCACAAGATCATATCCTATACCTATGATATTAATAAGCAATAAGCTAATTAATTGTTTGTAAGTATGAAGTCATAAATAGGTATAATCATTTTGATTAATTAATAGTAAGTATGAGATTAAAGTGGTATGATCGATTTGATAAATTGGCAATAGTAAATATGAGATCATAGAGAATGACTATTTAAGCAAAAGGGAAAGAAAATTAGTTCTCCTTCTTTTGTCTTTGCTATGAGCTTGATGATAGTCTAGCTTTATTATTTGCATTATGTAGTCATTAGAGAAATTAGCATCTTATAATAGGAAGTGATAATGGGTTACAAGATTTATTATCAATGTCAATACCTATAGATGGTAGTGTAAAAGATAAATCGAAAAAGGTTTTTTAACAAGAGTTGAGGGGTACCTTGGAGAGTTTACCTGTGAATACCTTAAAATATTGTGTAAAGACAAAGATTTGTCTAAAGTAGAGACAAAAAAGGTACTAGTTAAAAGGTTTATTAGTAAAGTAGTTAGTAATATAAAGGGGAAAGGTAGAGTAGAAGAAGTTGATCAGAGTAGAGAACGGGTTAGTATTGATCTGGTGACTTATTTTAAAAAAGTAGCTTTGAAAAAAGGTCAGAGTTAAACAAAAACAATATTGAAAATTGAAATAGTGTAAAATCTAATTTACTTTATGTTTCGTTAGAAAAGTTTATAGAGAAAATAGTTCAAGCAATGATGGAAAAAGTTATAGAGGAGATTAAAAGGAGTATTTAGTTAATGAGCAATATGAATAATAATAAGACTAGCCAAAAGAGAAGTTAAATAAACTAAGAGATCAGTTCGAGTATGATGAATAGTGCAAAGTAGGGAGTGCATCTATGTGCTCCCCATCTGATTTGGATTCCGTAATAATCATCTCTCCAAATTGGTATGTTTGTTACACATCTACTTAACATATCCATTTGACCAATCAGATTTGCATATCTGATATCAAATAAAATATCTTGTGATGCCGATTTCTAGTGTTTAGAACTTGCAAGAATAAAAAAAAATATTTTGCTATAATTTTTTTTTACTCTTGTAGCTCATAGATCATTTAATTATTTTTAATTATTTGAGGTAAATATAAAAATAGTTTATTTATTTATAATATACTTTGAAATTTAAATATATAATTTTTTGAAATGTTTTTGTTAGTCAAATTCATTTTTTTTTCATTGCTAATCATAATAGAGTATAAATAAATAAATACTTTTTTTTTTATAGTAAAGATATATATGAAATAAATATTAATGTTTTTGTTTTGTAATATGATAGTAAGTTCCTTTTATTTCAGAAGTAGGAATTTCACAATTATCATATAAATCAATAGTAGATTTTCTCTTCATTTCTGCATCTACAATCACTTCTAAATCTGTACTAGTTATTTTATTTTGATCTTTAGAATCATACTGATTCCAAACTTTTTGAATTGCTTTAATCCAATCTTCAAAGGTAATATCAGAATTTTCTTCAGGCTTTTTTTTATTTAAAATAAATGTGGTATGTTGAATTGGTAATGTATAGAACTTATGCCATGTAGCAAAAATATACTTGTATGCTATTCCCTGAAATTTAAAGTCAGAACATGTATATTCAAGATGTACTAGCTTTATATTATTATTTGTTTGTATGTAGTCTTTTAAATTAACTTCATAATTAAGGTGTGGTGACTTAGTGAAGTGGTGGAGTTGTTGCACCCCCAGATGGCAGGTCTAGAGTTCGAATCCCGCAGACTATGATTTTGAAAATACTAGATCTGTATTGGTTAACGTTAAGATTATCAGTTGGATCCAGATATCTGTAATCTTAGTTACACCATCTTGAATAGGAGCTTTGGCGCAATAAATCCAGAAAACCAGAATTACCGAAAACCTGTTTGGCAAGTCCTAAGTAGGGAGGTAGTATGATCTTTGACAGTGCTACAGAAAGACTGAATTTGGAATTAGAGACTGAGACCGGAGAACCAAGCGACCAGGTTCTTAAGTGGGGGGACACACCAGCCGAACTGCCGGGTTGCTAACCAGAGAAAAAGAACATGTGCTCTGGAAGCATGTACCAAAGGAAGGGAGACCATAAGGCACCTAAAGCCTGGGCAGACTGACCTTTTCAGATTGCTAGCTGGAAGTAAGGGAGAGACTGGTAAAGAATCCAAAGAAGAAAGAAAGTTTGAATGTAGGTACTGGGGTTGTGCGAACCTTACAAGAGCGAGGAGTACGTAATGGAAGACTAATTAGGAAGGTTGTGGCTTGAGATACGGATCAGGTTATGGCAGTATTCTAAAGGATAGCTTGAGATATGAACCTGGTGATAGCAGCACAACAGGTACTAGTTAGAAGGAAATTACTGATCATGCAGGTAAAAACATGTGTGGGACTTGGACTACTCTGTTAGGTTTACTCTGTAGATAGACTAGCCAGAAATAGTTAGTAAGTCCTAAGGTGGGTGTGAAATCTATAGGTATCACAAAATCTATGTATGAATAGTGAGTTACACCTTGGTTAGTTTAGGAACAGATGGCAGTTATGACCAGAGGATTTAAATAGGTATCCTCATAGTTGGAATGCAGGTACAGCAGCTAGTGTAGAACCTAGAGCAGACTACTTAAATAGGCAACCAAAAGTTGCATGTATAGCTAGTCATACTTTCATTAGTAATAATCAGAGAGCTTAAATAGATAATCTCCTAGTTAAGTTGTAGGTATAGCGGCTAGTGTAGAACCCAGGCGGACCACTTAAATTAGGTATCAAAAGTACACGTGTGGCTTGATGTATCCTCGTTGTAACTGTATAACCTGAAGTTAATAAGTTAATAAAAAGTCTTCGGCCATAGAGATCACCTTAACGCCAAAAAAAAAAATATATATATATATATTATATATTTATAATATAAGATTTTAATAATACATATGCATTGTAGCAATCTGTTTAAAATAAATAATATTACAATATAAGAAAGTTGCTAAGTCTAGTCAAAACCTTTATTATATCAAGATTTTTTTATATCAAGAGCTCTTTATAATAAAATTTTTAATTAGGCTTTTTTATAAAACTTTCTTTTATTAAGAGTTACTTGTAATAAAACTTATATGTTTAATATAATAACAAGCTAATTTATAGTAATTTAACAGAATAAAAAATATTTAGTAAAATCAAAAGTTTTTGCAAAGTAAAACTAGTATTTATAATTTAAATATATATATATATAATTGTAAAAGGTTGAGATGTCTTTCATCCATATCTCTATATTTATATTTATTCTCTAAAAATAATCAATAACACCTTTGAATCTCTATTAATATACTTTGCAAAAATATGTGTTTTTTGCTAAATATATTTATTAAATCCCTTAATATGTAGACCAACGCAGGCAAATTTGCCTGCGTTTTTGCACTTTTTTAGCTCTGATTTACTTTTTTAA